TAATTTATTTCTGTGATGCGCAGCTGTATTTTCAGCATCATTCCTCCAGTCTTCAGCGTCACGTGATCTTCAGAAATCAGTATAATATGCTGATTTATTATTAGAATTATCAATGTTGTGCTGCACAATATTTTATTTGGAACATGTGATACCTTTTTTTCAGGACTCTTTGATGAATAAAAAGTTAAAAAGAAGAGCGTTAATTTAAAATAGAAATCTTTTCTAACAATATACACTAGCGTTCAGAAGTCTGGGGTCAGTACATTTTTATTCTTTCTTTTTTTGAAAGAAATTAAAACTTTTATTCAGCGAGGAATGTGTTAAATTGATAAGAAGTGACAGCAAAGATTTATATGGTTAGAAAATATTTATATTTTGAATAAATGCCGTTCTTTCTAACTTTTTATTCATCAAAGAATCCTGAAAAAAAGTATCACAGTTTCCCAAAAAATATTGTGCAGCACAACTTCTAATAATAAATCAGCATATTATACTGATTTCTGAAGATCATGTGACACTGAAGACTGGAGTAATGATGCTGGAAATACAGCTGCGCATCACAGAAATAAATTATATTTTAAAGGATATTAAAATAGAAACCATTATTTTATATAGTAATAACATTTTGCAAGATTACTGTTTTTTTCTGTATTTTTGATCAAATAAATGCACCTTGATGAGCAGAAAAAACATTACAAGTCTTACTGATCCATATATATAATAGTATCTAAATGATACCAAAAGAACACTGGATTACACACTCAAAAACCACTCACATTTTCTTTAGTAAATGTCAAAAAATAAATAAAAAGGTAGGTACTTACTGCTCATCTGACAAATGCTGTGTGTATTTGATCCAGGAGGAGAAAAAGAAGAAGCGTGAGAGAGCGCAGTCAGAAAACGCTTGCAGTGCACCAGTGGAGCCCTTCACCCTGCCGAAGCCCGTGGAGGTAAAGCCTGTGTGATGGGGATCCAGAGCTTAGTTCGGTAGCTCAGAGCTGTTACTGAAGGAACGTTGTGCCACAGGTGCTTCCAGAGGAGAAGAAGCGGAAGCGGGACAAATTCGAATCGGAATCAGAAGCAGATGAATTTCATCCTGGAGTGAAAGTAGAAGTGGAGCAGCAGGCGGATCGGCCCGTACGAGCCTGTCGAACTCAGCAAGGTACAACTATATACCTAGGCCTGTCGCAATAATCAATATTAGGGCTGCCACTAACGACTATATTTATTACGATTAATCTATCGCTGAAATCAGCGTTCAGTATTATAGTGTAAGAATGACAACATTTCCACATGTTCTGGTCTACTAACAATACAATTATAATCAAAGAACACTTTTTAAAGGAGTACTTACCAGAATTTATTTAGGAGAGAAATGTAAATATGCAGTATTTCTGAAAAAAAAAAGAAAGAAAAATATATATATATTTTTTAAATAAAATCAATTAAATGGAGATGCTTTTGATTATTAAAATTTAACAGGAACCATTCAAATGGAATCCAGAAAATAATGGAAAACAGAATTTGGTAAAGATAAAACTGTAAAACTCAATTAATCAGACAGGCCTTTTGATTAATAAAATTGTATTTAACCATTAAAACGGAGTATAGAAAAATTAAAATGGATAAAAACTGAATTTGGTAATAAAACGGATTTTTTTAGGGCCCTATCATTATAATAAATTTTTTGTGGTAATAAAAATAGATGTAAGTGAACAATAGCCTTTAAAATTACTTTAAATACATTATGGCAGAAAAAAATTAATAAATCCTGTGTCCAGGGATTTTTTTGCCATGCATTAGTCATAGAGCTCTTTGTGGCGTTGCCTCAGATGTTGAAATAGAGTTGTTTACCAGAAACACAACATTTATCCATTATTTTGATTTCAAAGTTTCTGAAAATGCTTTTTCAGCATTGTGATTCTCTTTTATCACAGTACAGTAATACAATCTTTCATAGACATATTCACGTTTAAACTCAATAAATATAACTTTGTTTAACTACCACCACGAGTGCCATCTATTATTGCCTTGTTTATCTAAAAGTGCACTTTTCCTTGTTTTAAATCTAGCCAAAAAGCCATGTGTTGACTGTGAAACAGTAGACTTTAATTATATGCATTTATGGTGTAATTTCTCAATTTCAGTGTCAATCCATGTTAATTTTTTACCACGAATAATGCATGCAGCACAGCAGAAATAGATTCCGTGCGGAAACGATCGCAGCATGACTGCTGCAGACGCACCGCTCCTGGAGCGCACTGCCGGACCACAATCGCGTGCAGTGTGAACGCTCTGATCCGTTAACATGGGCGCGGACAAAATACGCACCACAGACGGAGTGTGTGAACCTGCCCGCCTGGTCTGTTCTGTTCTTGTGCTCCATTTAGGCGTGCTGCATTCTGATTGGTTCGGATAGCATACTGCAGGAGGTCGGGGGCGCGGAAAATCGTGCTATAAAGCGATTTAGAAATCGCGCATGCTCAAATCGTGATTTTATGACGATTTCGATTAATTGCACAGCCTTAGTTCAAACTGAGCTTTGCTTAAAATAACGTCTTGAGACCGCTAGTGAAAATGCTCCTCATTCGTGTGCTTTTGTTTGATTAAATACAACGTTTTTCATTGCGAATTATAAAATCAGGATTAAAGCCAACATGATTCGAGGACGTTCCAAAATGCATCTTTTGTTCGTGAAAATAAGCAAGAACATCTGTCCTTTTCAGGATTCCCACCGTTGGAAAAATCATGGAATTTTAAAATTGTGATCGCAAAGCCTGGAAAATTTCTTAACATATAATGAAATCTTTAAAAGTGATGAAAAAGTCTATTAAATATATTAAAATTATAATGTAATGTATAATAATATATTTTAAGATAATATGTGCGCCTGCAGCACAAAAGCAGTGTTAAGTCGCTGGGGTATATTTGTAGCAATAGCCAACAATACATTGTATGAGTCAAAATTATCAATTTTTCTTTGTTTATATTATAGATGCCAAAAATCATTAGGATATTAAGTTAGGCTCATGTTCCATGGAGATATTTTGTAAATTTCCTACCATAAATATATCAAAACTTCATTTTTGATTAGTAATATGCATTGCTAAGAACTTCATTTGAACAACTTTAAAGATGATTTTCTCAATATTTAGATTTTTTTGCACCCTCAGATTCCAGATTTTCAAATAGTTGTATCTCGGCCAAATATTGTCCGATCCTAACAAACCATACATCAATGGAAAGCTTATTTATTCAGCTTTCAGATGATGTATCAATCTCAATTTTGAGAAATTGACCCTTATGACTGCTTTTGTGGTCCAGGGTCACATATTGCATTTAATAAATCTAGCTCTTTTGTAATTTAGAAATATTAAAAGAGCTGAATCTTCAATATTTCTTCTTCATTTTCCTAATTGTAATATTTTTTTTACAAATCCTATATATATATATATGTGTGTACTAATAAACAGCCAATATGTTAGTAATATGCATGCTAATTAATAGTGAGAATTGGTCCTTAAAATAAAGTGTTTCCAAATTAAACACTAAATAAGCAATCAGCAGATTCTCTACAAAAAAAAAAAAAGATTCTGTCTAGTCTGTATTATATCTTTTTTTCCCTCGACCACATCAGGAGTTGTGTAATGTGGTAGACTGGTAGTACAAACGATGTTTATTTCAATATTACCAGTTTATTACCCCTAACCAGAACATTTGCTTTACTTTGCATGTAGATGGGGTACCTCAAAAAGGACTCCGACGGGTCCCTCAACTACACTGTTGTAAATCAAGATCCTGAAGCAGAAGGTATGAGCATCACTCTGTTTCAGTGTCTACTGCTTTATATAGTGGACTATATGTATGTGTGTGTGTATGTATGTGTATGTATGTGTGTATGTGTGTGTGTGTATGTGTGTGTGTGTGTGTATGTGTGTGTGTATGTGTGTGTGTGTGTATGTGTGTGTGT